CCCTTACCCTCCTTCTTTACAGAGGAGAGCAAGGCTTCAGGAAGGCACAACACAGTATTTACTTACAAAAAAGAAGAAGACTCCTATGTTGGGTAAAATGAGATGACTGGTGAAAACTAGATCCTGAAGATGGAGAAGGATGCAAGGCTAGTAACAAAGGATAATGGAAGAGCCAAGGACTTTTGTGCCTTCTCACTGAAGTCTTTAGTGAGAAGATTGATTATATCCAGGGGAATTCTAGGTTAATAGGTTAGGAAGCTAGCAATGTCTGATACCCACCATTTACAAATGCCCATTAAAATATCCACAAAGTTCTGCAATAATAGAGTTGCACTAGCTAGGGAAACTGGGGGGAAAGTGACAACCAGTTGCTAGTGGGGAAAGAGTTTCTGATGGTTCTTGTGGGGAGATGAGGTTGGGCTGAGGAGCATACTTGTGGCGCACGTATACTATACCAGAGTTCTACTTCATTTCTTCTGCCATTAGCTTCTCTATTTTCTATATAATTTTGGAGACTACAACTTAAGTATACCACATGGTCAGTGATAGTTGGGCCAATGGTTGTTATAAGGAAAAGCTCCAAACATAAAGCATGCTTGAAGACATCATATCTGAAATAATGTAACAGGACAAACTGCAAAGTCAGACAACCCAGAAAATCAGACACAGGATATTCCATTTCAATGCAGTAGAACCTAAACATAATAAAACCACCAACCACAACATTATTAACTGCCCCATTTTCTGAGCACTTATTATGTGCCAGACAATATCTTAAGTACCTTACATGCATTATCATATTTATTCCTCATAGCAAAAACACAAGTTGTCATTCAAGTTTGTTTGAAAGTGGCAAATAATAATAATGATATCTATAATTTATCGAGTCTCTTCTATCTGTTAGGCACTAAGTGTTTCATGTCCACTATCTCATTAGACGAATGCTGACTTAGGCACTAGAAAATGGGTTCAGCTTTCCCAATTCGTCTTTCAAGGCTCCGCTTAAGCATTGCCTCTTCCAGGAAGCCTTCCTAGACCCTTCCAATCTGGGTTAGGCATGCCTACTCTTTATTCCTCCCATCACTTCCCTGTACTTCTATCACAACTTTTATCTCATAACATACATACACACACACTTACTCATATACCAGACTATGAGCTCTAGGAGAAAATACGGTAGAAGTTAGGATGCAATAATATATCACCTCTATGAAACAGTTCTATAAAGAGAGAGGCTAAGATAAAAGTTGCCCTTGAATGGCAAAATTGGGGGTACATTTTGAGGCTTCTTCAATACCTGTAAAACAAGCTGTAAAACAGGGTCAAGTCATAAGCTTATTATGAAGAATAAATGTTAAACAGTTGTAAAGCCCCTTAGCATAGCAACTTGCATATAATAAAGGTTCATTCATGTTAGCTATTGTTATCAATATTATAAGGTATTTGGCCTAGAATAAAGACTCTTAAAAATTCAGAGGATAATAATAACATCTTGCATTAGCAATTTTCTAAAATAATCTTGTATTACTTTATGATAAAATAATTTATATAAGCAAAACATACCAATTTTTTGGCAAATGATGAAACTAGAAAGTCCTGCTCTGGTTGATGTGGCTCAGTTGGTTGGACATCATCTTGTGCACTGAAAGTTTGCTGGTTCGATTCCTAGTCAGGGCACATGACTGGGTTTTGAGCTTGATCCCTGGTCGGGAATGTGCAGGAGGCAGCGAATTGATGTTTTGCTATCACATCACTGCCTTTTCTCTCTCTCTCTCTCTCTCTCTCTCTCTCTCAAAAAATCAATACAAAATATATTTTTAAATCCTCACCCAAGGGTACTTTTTCTATCTTTTTCTATTTTATCTTCAGACAGAGTGGGAGAGAAGGAGGGAGAGAGACAAAAAGAGAGAGAGAGAGAGAGACATCAATGTGAGAGACACATTGATTGGTTGCCTCCCACATGACCCCAACCAGGGCCCAGGACCCAACCATAACTGAGGTACGCACCCTAGACCAGAATCGAACCTGAGATTCTTTGGTCCGTGGGTAGATGATCTAACTGCTGAGCCAAGCCAGCCAGAGCAATACAAAATATTTTTTTAAAAAACTAGAAAAGTCCCTCTCCTTCACTTCTTTCCCCCACACCCTCCTTCGAAGTAACTGCTGTTGACAATTTTAATTGGAATCATTCCACAGGGGGATGTATTTGAATTTAAGCAAGAGAAAAATGTGTTACTGCTGAATACAGTAAATCTAAGTTGTAATAGGAGGATGGAAAACCAAATGATAGTAAAATAAATTAGTATCTAAAGATCATAAAACTAGAGACTCTTGATTCCCAGGACCTTATACTATTGCTACTACTATTTTTTAATTATTAAAATAGTAATCATTTATTAATCTCTATGAGGGGAAAATACAGTGGTTCTCACCTTAGATTAAGAAACCTGATAAAAGTATCATCTCACACACCTTTGTATACAAATAGTTGGACATAGTATGCACAGTTGTACTGAATTGTTAACAATACTATTTGATAGCAAGGACTACAAGAAAAATGTCAAGGGGACAAAAATCTTGAATTTAATGGTGCCAAATGCCAAGAAGAAAATACTTCTACCAGGGCCTCATCCCAAGGTTATGCATCAAGATAAGAGACCTAAGGCAAATATAAAAGCAAAAGGTCCTAGCAGTTCTTAAAACCCAACTTAAATAAAATATATGGAGCTAATATATTTTGTTATAAAGTTTAACATAAAATATTATAAACAAGAGGGAATTTCATAAAAACTGTCATTAAAAACAATTTGGTGGGCTATAAGTCTACACAATACACATGAAATTTTATGTTCTACTACTTTCTCTGGCTTTTATCCAATAATAGTTTTTTTAAAAGACAATGAAGAAGAAAAGGGAAAATTAATGTATCAGTAAAAAAGAAAAGACTGAAAAGGAGAAAAGGGAATTCAACACATCTAAAGAATTGGCTCTTAAGAGATCAAACCAAAGAATCCTCAGCAGTCTGTGAGAACACTGGTACTATATACTTTTAGCTCTGCTGATCTGGACTATAAACTCCAAATGCCTCTTTCACCTCTGATAGTGGGATCCTGTCAAGAGCCAGGGGTACAGCTTGTTTCTGGTTTTCTGGTCTCTACAGCTGGGAATACTGTCCTCCCTGTATTTCAGGAAACTGGGGATATATAATACCCACAGGGCCTTCTAGATTCCATATAAGACCAGTTGGGAACAGGACTTTGTTGGCTGCCCTTTGCTCGTAATCACAGGGCTGATGCTTGTGGCACATGGAGGGAATTTCAAACCTATGAGATTCCAATCTACAGGGACTCAGGAAAGTGTAGCTCCACTAGAAAGAGGATGGCTCTGCCCTGATTGGTGTCCAGGTATACCATTGGCCCTCTTAGTGTAAGGCGTTTGTCTTCCCTTCCCTCCTGTTCTCAGAACCAATGCAGTGTGGATTCCGCTAGGAGGCACCTCGGGCTTCATCCAAATATCTAACTCTGGGTCCGAGTCAGAAAATGTTCAGTGTTTAAACACAAGATGGCAGTATACACTGCTCTATTGCAAGGGCTGTGGACCTGTGAATGAAGCGAGCTGAAAGGGGGTGAGGACTGCTGACTGAAAATGAAATCCATTAGAATTTTATGTGAAAAATGAACATCATAAATATTTTGATTTTTCTAGGAACCAACAATTATTTAATCCTATACAGTCAAAGTATTCCAAGTCTCCAAGTCCTGGAAGTCTACCATAGTAGACCTCCCTACATCTCACAAAGCTGGGGTATGACCCGGTCACCAACCTGCCTTGCTCTCCACAAATCTGCCCTTTCACCTTACGTCAGACGCTCCGGAGTAACCTTCTCGTCAGAGCCAAGAATCCCTCAGCTGGCAGTTTGAGGACACTCCTGTGCTCATGAATAGCCAATCACCACCTATCTTGAAGGGGTAAGGGCAAAGATCACCTCAGGTGGCAGATGGAGGAAATAAGGGGGAGAGCAAATTTGAAAAACAGGGAAAGAAAAGTGAAGTGAAGAGAAAAGGACATAATTGAAGTGAAAGATGGGGTGAGCTGAAGTGAGGAAAGGGAACGGAAAGTAAAATGAGGGGAAAGAAGGAGGAAGAAAGGAGTCAAGGAGAGAAAAAGAAGAACCAGGGCAAGAAGGGGTAAATGAGGAAATACAGAAAAGGAGAAAAAGAAATGAGTAAAGAAAGGGGGCATGAAAGAAAGGAAAAAGGCAGAAATTGGTAAAGAAAGAGGAAAAGAAAGAAAGGAAAAATGGGAGAAAAATCGCAGAGAGACTGAAGTGGGTCTGGGGAGAGTGGCAAACTGGGAAGAGAGAAAAGTGAAGGAGAAGAGGCCGGCATCGGAGAGCCAGCCCGGGAGCTTGCATTCCCGGAAGCCAGGACAGAAAACTCCTCCGGTGGGGTTCAGGGAAGAGAGGAGACAGCAAGTTGCGGGGGGGGGGGGGGGGGAGAGGGGAAGATAAGTGAAGTGAAAAGAAAGGGACAGAAACGAGGGGAGTTCGACCGTGTTTCCGTGTGTTTTGTTCAAGGCATTTATTTGGTACTCCTGAAGTGTGTCCGGCAGGCTCACGCTCAGGTTCTCTGTAGGAGCAACCGTTTCTCTTTGCACCGCCCCCCCCCCCCCCCGCCCTCCCCAAAGAGGCTTGTGGAGCGCGGCGAAGTAAGACTAACAAGAAGGGCTCGAGAGGACGGCGTCTCTCCTGTAGGGGGACCCGTCCGCGGTGGGATCAGGAATATTTGCCCTCCCGCCGAGCTTGAGAGCCGGGTGGTGCGGAACCCCAAGCCCGGTCATAGATTTCTGGCGGAGGATGTGCCATGAGGGGCGAGAGAGCCTGAGCCGAGTCGCCCGGCACGACTGAGCGGGCAAGGGTGCGAGCCGCGGTGTGGTGCGAGGGCGCCTGGGTGCGGTGGGGCGGGGCGGGGGTTTGGGGGCAGGACCGAGCCGGCTTAGGGCCGGCGCCCGCCAGGGAAGCTCTGCTGGCCCCCCGGGGGTAATTTACAGGCTGCCTCGGCCCTGTGCGGGCTCCTGGGCGTACGGCTCGTTCGCTCACTCACTCGCTCTGGGCTCCTGCCACCGTTCAGCCGGCACAACCCTGGGGAACTCAAGAGCGGGCGAACTAGCGAGACGAGAAGGGAGGGAGCAAAGGAGAAAACGAGGGCGCGCCCCAGCTCTCCCCTGCGCTGCTGCCCGCCCTTCCTGCTGCCACAGGTCCACTCCGAGTCCCGCTCACACTTGGGAAAGTTGGAAAGGCGCTGGGGAAGCGTGTGGCACCTCGGGGGGTGGCCGGGCCTCTAGCGGGGGGGGGGGGGGGGAGGAGGAGGAGGAAGAAAAGGAAGTGAGCCCCAAGGATCCGCTCAGAGCTGTTTGTCCAGCTGTTTCTATTCGCACCCGGAGCAGCACAGCCAGAAGGGGGCCGATCCCAGGGTGGTTAGCTAGAGGCGCTAATTTCCAACTCTTCTCTTAGCAGCTTGCCTTTTCCAGACACCCTGGAGTCTCCTCAGTCGAACCCAGCGGACGCGCACCTGCCAGCCGCCCCGGACCTGGAAGGCCAGGCGGCTTCTGAGCCTGAGAAGATGGCCCAGCCCAAGACCGACTGCCGCTCACCTGTCGGTCTCGACTGCTGCAACTGCTGCCTGGACCTGGCCCACCGGAGCGGGCTCCAGGGAGACAGTAGCGGAGAGAACAAGAGCCCAGGCAGCCCCACTGTGAGCAACTTTCGGCAGCTGCAGGAGAAGCTGATCTTTGAGAACCTCAACACCGACAAGCTCAACAGCATAATGCGGCAGGATTCGCTAGAGCCTGTGCTGCGGGACCCCTGCTACCTGCTGAACGAGGGCATCTGCAACCGCAACATCGACCAGACCATGCTCTCCATCCTGCTCTTCTTCCACAGGTGGGTGCCTGGGCATACGGGTTGGCATGCGTCCTGGATCACTCCAGCTTCTGCTGGACAAATGGGGCTACCAGGAAGTTCACGAGGGACACTGAGGAGATCGGGCTCTAAGGCTGCTGTGAGCGACCCAAAGGCTACCTGGAGTCCTGTGGGGTTGAGGGGACTCCTGGCAGGTGGGAACTATATTTTGAAGTGTGCCTGCAGAGGCTTTCCTAGGGAGGTGATGGAGCCTAGAAAGTGGCCAGAGCCCTAGATGGTTTGGAGGTAGCTGGAAGCAGCCCCTCCTCCAGTGCATAATTTCCACCACCACTTTGGAGATTCTGCTGTGGGATGCTCTTGGGATCTGAGTTCCACCCTTCAGAAAATCCCATTTCTAAATATTCGAACTCAGATTGAAATTGCCAGGGCTTTGAAAATACTGAGTGGCCCTGACGGACAATGAGGGCAGAGAAAATGTCAAGACAAATTAAGAGGCTGCTGATGTGGGGCAGGTGGGGAATAAGAAAAATTAGAGACCCTTGAGAACTTCTTGAGACTCTGGATGGGGTACTCCAACTTCCTCCATGGATAATAGCCTACAATTTCCAATGATGGCTAAAAGCAGCCCCAGAGAGCACCCTAGGATGGGACAGTGGATGTATCCATGTCATCACAGCTGTTTGTTTCAGTGTGGAGGGTGAGGGTCAGACTTTCTAGAAATCCTGCTGAAGGGCAAGGAAGAGAAAAGGGAGGGGAGAACACAATGGGAAGTTCCAAAGTGTCTGTAGTTCTCTAGTCTGAGAAACTCTGGTAAGAGCCAGTCTTGGGGGGACAACTGAGGCAATTTTGAAGCAAGGGAAGCAACTTCAGGAAACCCAGCCACAGTGGGTTTGGTATTCTTGGAGCTGTCATAACAGGGCACAGATGTGTGTGTGGGGGGGTAGATTTTATTTTTTTTCAATGACGCAGGTTATATGCATGAAAGAGAACCCCAGGGTGGGAGACCCGAGTTGTATGTAGTACAAGTTATAGTTCTGCCTCACTGTGTGAACCTGAGCAAGTCATCTGACTTCTCTGGTCTTTAAGGTTCTGTCTGGTTCTGAACTCCAGGTCATAGGCAGGTGATGTGCTCAGACAAGGTAATAAGAAATTGTGAACACCACAGAATATTTGAATAATTGGATAACTTTTCAGTGAGACACAAAAAGGAAATTTTAAAAGCAATTGAGATAGGCAGAAACAACCCTCACTACATGTTCAGACCAGGTTTACCTCCACAACCCCAGAAGTTCCAGGAGGGGACAAGCAGAGCTGCTGACATGTTAGCATTGTCATAACAAGTTGCATTTCTCAGGCATTTTCCACACCATCAAAGCCCTTCCTCATCTATTATTTCATTATAGGCATTGATTTATTTAATTGTCTCAAAACTAGTTGGTTTCTAACGGGTTTCTAGGGAATCTTCATTTCTGGTGAAATATTACTACAAGTGTATTCAGACCATAGGTGCTGCAACCCTGCTGAGCAAAAGCTCTAACAGGCTCCTCTAACAATCCAGCTGGGCTTGGTGGGAGAGTGGTGGAGGGGGAGAGGGAGGGAGAGCGGAGACACCTGGAAAGAGCTCCTGTCATATTTGCACTCTTTCAACTGGGAGAGAAACTGCCCCAAAATGGCCTGGATGATGTGTAAGAGGGGACAGACACATCCTCAGCTAGGTTACTAGGCTTGGGGCCTAGGAGGGTTGGATCTAGGTGAGTGAGGTGTGAGGCTGAGAGGCTGAGATCAAAGTGTTCACTTGTGCCACACCTTGAGAGGCTTTCTGTTTGTCTGGTTTCTTGAACAGAAAGACCTCCTTTTGTCGCCTAGTCTATTGACACCTGTTTATTGGCATTTGTTTCTTGACAAAGCATAGAAATGATAAAGGGTAGGGGCGCAGGGGCCCTGAGGGCATTGATGGAGGGAGCAGGGCCAATTGTCTGGAATGTAGACCTGAGCACCTTGCCTCCTGGAATCAAAGTAACTCAGTGTCCTAAACAGCTACACCTTTCTATAAGGCTGGGGGCTGTGACAGGATCCTGTAGTAATGGCCTTGTAGTTCTAGCAGGACAAAGTGTTCTTACATATTGAACCTTAGAGGTTGAATATTCTGAATTTGCTTTAGGTTTTACCTAGAATGACATGTTCATTAGCAAAAGTAAGAGATCATTATTGCTGATCATGGGGCTTTTCTAGTATCTGAGCTGGGCAGACTTCTCCTGAGTGAAAGTCTTCTTTCTTGCTTCATTTATTCCCTGGGTTTCTATCTTTATACTTAAGCCACCAGTTTTACTTATTTTTTATTTAATGATTTGATATTTCAAGTTCCTGTTGGAGTGTCTTTTTTTTTCCTTTAATTTATCTACTTTCAAGGCTACCTCTTCTCCTGGAAAAGAGACTCTCCCCACCCCTCCTCCTGCAGCCCATTTCCCTGCTGGAAGGACTCCTATATTCTTGGGAGGGAAGGGTGGAACACATTCTTGATTTCTATCTGGTTCCTCTGCTTTGACCTGTCCCTTGCCCCCAGGTCTTGGTGTCCTTGAAACACAAGAGCGTAAGCAATTTGAGGGTAGTGTTGTGTTTTACACTCACTCACTGTTCCCTGGGTTTCTCGTTATACAGCCATTATGCAATAAAGGTGATTTTGGTTAGATGATTGCTTAATAGTTGGCGTAACAATTGTAAAATGTAAAAAGAAAAAAAAAAAGCAACTTTAACATAGTCTTGGAAAATCCTTATTGAGGTTTAAATGTGATATTTTTGTTGTTTGAACTACATGTGTAGCTCTAATAATCTGGGAGAAGTCCTGATGGACAATGCTGTGTGTATATACACAACTCAGTGGTAATAGGCATGTGACTTGTTGGTATGTAAATAGTTTCTCTAAACTATTGGGAGGTATGTTTTAAACACCATCCTTTCAACCTTGTGTGAGGTAACTAATAACTATAATAGATTAATAGTTAACATTTATTGAGCATTTACAGTTTGCACTAAGCATTATATCTGCCTAATCTCATCTAATATTAATACAAACCCACAAAATGGGTACTGTTATCACCCTTCTTCATTTTATAATTAGGGAAATTGAGGTTGGGAAAATTAATTATATTGGTCAATGTCTCAATGAAGAGCAGAGCAAAACTTCATCTAAGATCAGTTAGACACTAAATAATTGTCTATTAAGAAAAAAAAATTGCCCCTGGCCGGTTTGGCTCAGCAGTTAGAGTGTCAGCCCACGGACCAGAGAGACCCGGATTCGGTTCCTGCTAAGGGCACGAACCTCGGTTGCAGTTTGCCCCTTGCCCTGGTTGGGGTCGTGTGGATGGCAATCAGTATTTGTGTCTCTCTTTTGTCCATGTTTCTCTCTCTCTCTCTCTTCCTCCCTCTCTCCCTCCCACTCTATCTAAAGATAAATGCAAAAATGCCCTCAGGTGAAGATTAAAAACAAAACAAAACATTGGCCCAGCCAGTGTGGCTCAGTGTTTGAGCGTCAACCCACGCACCAAGAGGTCGCCAGTTTGATTCCCGGTCAGGGCACATGCCCAGGTTGTGGACCCGATCCCCAGTGGGGTGCATGCAGGAGGTAGCTAATTGGTGTTCTCATCGATGTTTCTATCTCTCCCTCTCCCTTCCTCTCTCTCTAAAATCAATAAAGAAAAAATTTTTTTTAAAAAAGAAAAAAATTGTTAAGCAGAGGTAAATATTAGCTGAGAAACTAACCAAATGTTTTAAATGTCCATATTAGATAGGGTGAGCAACCATACCTTTTGGGGATACAAGACTGTCAATGTTTAAACTGGGACAGTCCCAGGGAAACTGGGATGGCTGGTCACCCTATTATGAGGGGACTCAACCTTATCATTTGAATGTGCTTCTAAGACTGGAAAACTTAGGAGGTAGATAGAATATGCTAGGCAAACAACTAAAATTTTCTATTTAAAGGTAGACTATGAAAAAACTGGCAAAGTTGAAATTTGAGGGGCCTTAATTCGGTGATCAGTAAGGGGTAGCAATCTGAAATGGGAACTTTTGCCATATTCTACTGTTGTCATTATTGTTATTGCAACCTCAAATTTATTTCTAAGATTTTATCCAAAACTTCTTAATCAGATCTACTCTACTGCCTTTGGTTCCCGAGCACACCTGCCCTGGGTCGTCTGAGTTCCCTTGTAGCTTTAAAAGCCCTAGGAGCCTACCTTTAAGCTTCTGAGCTGGCACCAACTGGTTCCCACACTTAGATGCTCAGAAAATAACAATAGCAAAGATTTCTAATTGCTTTATGTGTGCTAATTCATTCAACCTCCTCTACTGAGTTGATATGTAGTAGTAAAGGGAGAGATCAATCAGGTTTCCAAAAAAATGTTTCTTACAAATTATTTGTGCTTCTCTAAGTAAGTCTCAGAATTCATGATTTCATAAATGTATATTCCTAGATCTGACTTCTGAGGATAACCACTTACACTGTGTGATTTGAGGGGCCAAACTATTCTCCCACCTGCCAGCTATAGTGTCTAAAGTCACACTCTAAGATTCAGCCCTGTATTTTGGAACCATCTTAAAACTTCTCTCCCATAGCACAGTGGTATGCTGATTACACCATGGGAAACTCTGACCTGGAGATCACAACCCTTTGTCAACTAATTTGCCATTTGATTTTGATGATGGAGTTCTTTGTTGTAGAGAGGTTTTGGGTTTCTACGTGGCCTGTTATTCTTTGCCTTTGTGATGTTTGCTTTTGGTATCAATCTTTGAGAAAGTCTTTCCCTAGCCCAAGGTAATGTAAAATAACTATTTCTTGAGTGCTTATTGGTCTGAAAAAGAATAGGTACTCAGATTAAGGCACATTTTCCATTAAAAACACAAACCCATTTGCAACTTAACATTCATGATTTGAATACCACAAGAGAAACTTGATATGAGATAAACTGTCTTCTTGCTAAGGCACAGATGTGAATTACATGTACTGAGAGGCTTTTGCCTAT